CATAATCCTGAATTACACTTGAAAATACACATTAATCAGCGGATTACCTTAACTTTGACCTAAATCTCGCCCTCAAAATAATGAAGTGTTAATAAAATTACTTCAAATACAGTTACAAGCACGTTACAATTCACTTCAATGACTACAGTATAATATTCTCGACTCTCTCGATCAGGATTCCCGGGTTCTGGGCGGGGCAGACATGGTTGGGCACGTCCCCTTTCACCTAATGCTTCTGTTCACCCAGTTCTGAGATGGAATGTCATTCATGATCACTTACAAGACCTTAAATCAGATCCTGGCCAACTGCAAGTGAACATTAGAGGCATTTCACCATAAAATTAATTACTTGAGAGTCATTCGTAATTCGCCTGACAATGGTTTGCTCCCACGGGGGTAAATATGTGCCTTAGAGATCTCTAATATATCAGTCTGAGAACTCTATTGTATTTCTTAAGAACGCTAAGATATTCCTAAGAGAAATCTAATATATTCCTAAGAGAACTCTAATATAGTCCTAAGAGAACTCTAATATATTCATAAGAGAACTCTAATATATTCATAAGAGAACTCTAATATATTCCTAAGAGAACTCTAATATATTCCTAAGAGAACTCTAATATATTCCTATGATAACTCTAATATAGTCCTAAGAGAACTCTAATATAGTCATAAGAGAACTCTAATACATTCCTATGATAACTCTAATAAAGTCATAAGAGAACTCTAATATATTCCTAAGAGAACTCTAATATATTCCTAAGAGAAATCTAATATATTCCTAAGAGAACTCTAATATAGTCCTAAGAGAACTCTAATATATTCATAAGAGAACTCTAATATATTCCTAAGAGAACTCTAATATACTCCTAAGAGAACTCTAATATAGTCATAAGAGAACTCTAATACATTCCTATGATAACTCTAATAAAGTCATAAGAGAACTCTAATATATTCCTATGATAACTCTAATATAGTCATAAGAGAACTAATATATTCCTCGGAGAACTCTAATATATAATATTTAGACTATTCTAATAAATTCGTTGGAGAACTCTAATATAGTATTCAAAGAACTCTAATATATTCCTTAAGGAACTCTAACATATCAATAATACAAATATGTTATGTGATCAAGTTATATTTAACTGACATAAAATGAAGGTCATCCTCAACCACATAACACAGGTCATCCTCCCAAGGTCGTCCTCAACCACATAACACAGGTCATCCTCCCAAGGTCGTCCTCAACCACATAACACAGGTCATCCTCCCAAGGTCGTCCTCAACCACATAACACAGGTCATCCTCCCAAGGTCGTCCTCAACCACATAACACAGGTCATCCTCCCAAGGTCGTCCTCAAACGCCTCCCAAAGTTGCAAGAACACAACTAATCCCACGAAGATTACTGAAGGTTTAATAAATCCCGTCTTAGCCGTGTAATCCTCATTTATCAATAAACAAAGAGGTTTGCTAATCTAGTTATACCCGCCGCTTACAAACACCACATTCTATAACCTACACTTGAGTAAGAACTTGAATCTTAGCAGAAGGTTACTGCTCTTTACTCACTCTTATAAAGTGGCTTAGTGCTATACTCACTCCTATATACATATAGTGGGTCAGGGCTATACTCACTTCTATATACATATAGTGGCTCAGTGCTATACTCACTCCTATATACATATAGTGGCTCAGTGCTATACTCACTCCTATATACATATAGTGGCTTAGTGCTATACTCACTCCTATATACATATAGTGGCTCAGTGCTATACTCACTCCTATATACATATAGTGGGTCAGGGCTATACTCACTTCTATATACATAAAGTGGCTCAGTGCTATATTCACTCCTATATACATATAGTGGCTCAGTGCTATACTCACTCCTATATACATATAGTGGGTCAGGGCTATACTCACTCCTATATACATATAGTGGCTCAGTGCTATACTCACTCCTATATACATATAGTGGCTTAGTGCTATACTCACTCCTATATACATATAGTGGCTTAGTGCTATACTCACTCCTATATACATATAGTGGCTCAGTGCTATACTCACTCCTATATACATATAGTGGCTTAGTACTATACTCACTCCTATATACATATAGTGGCTTAGTGCTATACTCACTCCTATATACATATAGTGGCTAAGTGCTATACTCACTCCTATATACATATAGTGGCTCAGTGCTATACTCACTCCTATATACATATAGTGGCTTAGTGCTATACTCACTCCTATATACATATAGTGGCTAAGTGGTGCTACTACTCACTCCTATATACATATAGTGGCTCAGTGCTATAATCACTCCTATATACATATAGTGGCTCAGTGCTATAATCACTCCTATATACATATAGTGGCTGAGTGCTATAATCACTCCTATATACATATAGTGGCTTAGTGCTTTACTCACTTTATTTAGCTTCACTATTTATTAATCTTTTACTCACCTTATTTATATATGTTACAACGATAGTAACAAAGAGTGAGAGAGATAGAGAGAGAGAGAGAGATAGAGAGCGAGAGGAGAGAGAGAGAGAGAGAGAGAGAGAGAGAGAGAGAGAGATAGAGAGAGAGAGAGAGAGAGAGAGAGAGAGAGAGAGAGAGAGAGAGAGAGATAGAGAGAGAGAGAGAGATGGATATGGAATATACCGAGAAGTTAGAATATACTGATAAGTAGGAATAAACTCAATTCAATTTCTTTCTTTATTATGCACCCCATACCCGTCCCGTGGGCGGTGGTGTAAAGGGTTACAGAGGCACATAATCGGTTTTGGAACTGAACCATCTTGTTCGTTTAGTTAAGCAAATAACAATCTTTTGACGCTAGTTACACGATTATTAATGTTAATATACTACATGTACACCCCACACACACACAACACACACACACACACACATATATATATATAATATATATATATATATATATATATATATATATATACATATATATATATACATATATTATATATATATATATATATATATATATATATATATATATATAGTGGGTGTGTGTGTGTGTTGTGTGTAAACATGTGTTATATATATATATATATATATATATATAATATATATATATATACAACCACCTACACAAATACACATATCAATAATCTTTTTTGATATGCTCACAACAACATTCAAACAAACACCTCACAACAGTCACTTAGGAAGGCACTTTATATCTATGGTGAGTCACACAGTTACTAGTCTTGCTCCACACCCACCCAACTGGGCGGCAGCTGTAGTCATGTGCAGGCTGCACCTACAGTAAGCAAATTTTGGATACTTTGCTAAGATTCCGGCCAGTACATCATTATGAATGAAGAACCTACACATTTCTTGGACTCCATTGATGGTGTTATCTCTGAATTCCGCGATTTTTTCACATTCCATTATATAATGACGCAAAGTATGCGAATAGTTCTGCTGTCAGAGTTTACATTTAGTCAAATCTACATCAGCAGATGTTACAAACGCCCAGAGGTACTCATAGCCGAGCCTAAGCCTAGCAGTGGTAACATCTAGAAGTCTGCTAACCTTATTGGATGACCCATAGACGTGCGGTTCATCCTGCATAATAGAATGATGACAGATGAAGCAACTGGTGTGAATTTCACTTTGCCTCAAGTCTACGAGATTTTGTTGATGTTCCCGGAATATTACTGCCCTCAGGCTGCTCAAAGGCAGTCCAAGATGGTAATCAATTCCCTCTTTATGAGCAAAAGTCTTGGCCAACTCATCAGGGTATTGAAATATACTTCTTTTATATACTGAGAGGTGCTGGAATATACTGAGAGGTGCTGGAATATACTGAGAGGTGCTGGGATATACTGAGAGGTGCTGGGATATACTGAGAGGTGCTGGAATATACTGAGAGGTGCTGGAATATACTGAGAGGTGCTAGGATATACTGAGAGGTGCTGGAATATACTGAGAGGTGCTGGAATATACTGAGAGGTGCTGGGATATACTGAGAGGTGCTGGGATGTGCTGAAGGCCATGAGTAGTGTTTGAAGGAACGGATCTCGAGTAGTGCTGGAAGATAGAGACAATATACAGATGTTACTTGGTCCCTATAAGGTTTGAATATTTGTTAGGCGGGTCCAAGTCCTACAAGATGCTGGTGGTGTCGAGAAGCTACGGCTGAGATGCTGGGGGCTATGATGCTAGGGGCGAGACAGTGAGGCTAGGATACTGGTGGAGCTAGGATGCTAGTGTAGAGTCAGTGTGGCTGGGCTAGGATACTGGGACCAGGATGCTGGGGCTGGGATGCTGGGGCCGGGATGCTGGGGCCTGGGCAAGGATAATGAGCCGGTGCGTAATCTCAGCAGCTTCACGGGGAAGACCAGGAGGGATTACTCCAGTATTCTTATGGTAATGACACACACATACACACACACACACACACACACACACACACACACGCGCGCGCTCATAGACGAAAAGAAAGAACAGAAAGAGACGGAAGAGGATAAACAAAGACAAAAATAAAATGGAAATAAAGAGGGGAAAACTGAAGTAAAGAGCGAGAGTGAGAGCGAGAGTGAGAGCGAGAGTGAGAGCGAGAGTGAGAGCGAGAGAGAGAGAGAGAGAAAGAGTGAGAGAGAGAGAGAGAGAGAGAGAGAGAGAGAGAGAGAAGGAAAGAAACATGAAAAAATACACAGATGAAACAACAGAAGGCAATAAGGGAAGGGATAGAAGAATGGACCTTCATGAATAGGCTTGGATAAAGGCCGTCTGAAGACAGATCAAGAGAAGCAAGCAAGAGGCCAGCGAGTCTGAGAGAATCAAGCAAGAGGCCAGCAAGGCTGAGAGCAGCAAGGCAGAGGCCAGCAAGGCTGGGAGAAGCAAGCAAGAGGCCAGCGAGTCTGAGAGAATCAAGCAAGAGGCCAGCAAGGCTGAGAGAATCAAGCAAGAGGCCAGCAAGCCTGAGAGAAGCAAGCAAGAGGCCAGCGAGTCTGAGAGAAGCAAGAGGCCAGCAAGGCTGAGAGAATCAAGCAAGAGGCCAGCAAGGCTGAGAGAATCAAGCAAGAGGCCAGCAAGCCTGAGAGAAGCAAGCAAGAGGCCAGCGAGTCTGAGAGAATCAAGCAAGAGGCCAGCAAGGCTGAGAGCAGCAAGGAAGAGGCCAGCGAGTCTGAGAGAATCAAGCAAGAGGCCAGCAAGCCTGAGAGAAGCAAGCAAGAGGCCAGCGAGTCTGAGAGAATCAAGCAAGAGGCCAGCGAGTCTGCGAGAAGCAAGCAAGAGGCCAGCGAGTCTGAGAGAAGCAAGCAAGAGGCCAGCGAGTCTGCGAGAAGCAAGCAAGAGGCCAGCGAGTCTGAGAGAAGCAAGCAAGAGGCCAGCGAGGCTGCGAGAATCAAGCAAGAGGCCAGCAAGGCTGGGAGAAGCACGCAAGAGGCCAGCAAGCCTGCGAGAATCAAGCAAGAGGCCAGCAAGGCTGCGAGAATCAAGCAAGAAACCAGCGAGTCTGAGAGAAGCAAGCAAGAAACCAGCGAGTCTGAGAGAAGCAAGCAAGAGTCCAGCGACGCTACCGTAAGCGAAGCACAACTCCCCCTCTAAACAAGGGGAGTTTAGAGACATCAATACACTCCATTTAAACAAATTTAATATATCAAACAATGCATAAAGGCAGCTGGTAAAGTAATATACCGTGTCAATATATCGCTCAGATACGCGATTTATGGAACGTGGTATGAAAGGAACGATATGAATGTGGAAGTAGAGAGAGTGGGAGGGAGGGAGGGAGGGATGGAAGGGGCGAGGAACTGAATGAGAGAGGGATAAGGAAAGAAAGGAGGGAGGAAGAGAGAGAGAGAGAGAGAGAGAGAGAGAGAGAGAGAGAGAGAGAGAGAGAGAGAGAGAGAGAGAGAGAGAGAGAGAGAGAGAGAGAGAGAGAGAGAGAGAGAGAGAGAGAGAGAGAGAGAATCCGGCAATAACAGTCAGGAACAAGATGGGAGAGAAAGATGAGAACAATAACAATACAGAAGAGATGGATAGCCTTCGACAAACACGGAAGATAAACAAGAGATATTCCAGATAAAGAAAGATATTCCAGAGGGAGACAACAAGAGATATTCCAGAGGGAGACAACAAGAGATATTCCAGAGGGAGACAACAAGAGATATTCCAGAGGGAGACAACAAGAGATATTCCAGAGACAGACAGCAGCAGATATTCCAAAGTCAAGCACTATTCCAGTGACAAGAGATATTTCAGAGACAATATATATATATATATATATATATATATATATATATATATATATATATATATATATATATATATATATATATATATATATATGTATATATATATATGCCATAATTAACAAGAGATCTACCAGAGAACACAAATATTCCTGAAGCAACAAGAGATTCCATAGACAACAACAACTATTCCAGAGAGATATCAAGAGATGTACCGGAGACAACAAGTGATATTCCAAAGACAAGAGATCTTCCAGAGACAAGAGATAATCCAAATTCCACAGCTCAAGATATGAAATGGTATAGACATAACATAATTCAACTTACGATACACATGAAAGATAAACACAATTTATACCAGATAACAAGATCTAAATCGAGACAAACATGAGAAAAAACTAATATATATATATATATATATATATATATATATATATATATATATATATATATATATATATATATATATATAATTGTCTAAGACTCGCGAGATAGTATCTAAGGCTTTGGAGTGGATTCGATTGACAGTTCAGCCCATCCTCCAAACAATGACCCATAGACCATTCCATGCACCCGCCAACCCCGCTGTTTATGAATGAAAAGCGGTTTACACACGATTCACAACTGATGACGTTCGAACACTTCCGGAACGAGTGCTTCACTGACGACTTTTGTTCGAACCACAACGCTGTAAATGCTTCACCCACGTACTACAAATACAGAACCTAAACACCTACACTAACTTATGCCTATATATGCCAATATACTAATATATTGTAATATTAATTTCTATTTGATAAAATTCCCGTTTTGAATGAACAGCATGTGAAAATTTATGAATGCGTCTGTGGGGTCGACCGCTGGATGGAATGGACTTGAGTCGAGTATGGCTTGGACAGTTATGAGGCGAACACATGAGCCGAAGCTCAAGCCTTGCAACCACAACCAGTTGAACTAGGTAAATAAACACACATATAAACACATACACACCCTAAAACCTCCCCACCACCACCTGATTCCCTCCGCGTAGCAATTTTTTCTCCCCACCACAACCTACCAATCCAAAGCAACCTTCCCCCTCCACAATCCCCCTATTCCTAATAAAGGTTCTTCCCCGCCACCTCTTTACCCTCCCTCGAAGCAGGGACTTCCCCCCACCCCCCCCTCTCCCCCGCTTGGTTATTTAGGGGAAATATTTCTCTCGCGTACGTGTCATAAATATTTTTTCCCCAATTTTGGTGGGGAGGTCACCCGGCTGGCCACAGAGATTAACTTATTTCCCGGTTCATCTTATTTTTAATCCCCCCACTTGACACTACGGGTTTATTTCCCCCCCCCAGTTGACACCCGGGGTTTATTCCCCCAGTTGACACCCGGGGTTCATTCCCCCCCCAGTTGACACCAGGGGTTTATTCCCCTAGTTGACACCCAGGGTTTATTCCCACAGTTGACACCCGGGGTTCATTCCCCCCCTGTTGACACCCCGGGGTTTATTCCCCCAGTTGACACCCGGGGTTTATTCCCCTAGTTGACACCAGGGTTTATTCCCCCAGTTGACACCCCGGGGTTTATTCCCCTAGTTGACACCAGGGTTTATTCCCCAGTTGACACCCCGGGGTTTATTCCCCCTCCCCCCCCCTCCACTTGATACTTCAAATATCCCACCAGGAGACACTCATACTGTTCTACCTTTTAAATGAACATTGTTTCCTTTCACCTAATGCACCCCAGGAGTTAGGCGGCTGTTGTGAGGTTACCGCCTGGGGAGGGGTCAATAGTTCCACCTGGAGGGGGGAGGGGGATGGGGGATGGAGGGAGGAGGGGGGGGTAGGGGGGGAGAGGGGGGGAGCGGGGGGGAGGGGGGAGAGGGGGGAGAGGGGGGATGGGGGAGAGGGGAGGGATTCGATACAAGCCAAAATCTATCTATCTAACCAAGTTCAAGTATATTTATTGAGACAAGGACAAAAATACATCTCAAAGGGATAGAGTAGCTTAGGCTATTTCTACCCCCCCCCCTCTCTATCTAACCAATCCTTACCAAAGCTAACCAACCAACACTTATTGACTTATAGACACTTATAGATAAAAAAGTGATTTCATGAAATATGTGGGGACCAATAATACCACGAGTGTACACTTTTACAGTAGAGAGTGTAAGACTGTCTTACACTTAAGACAGTCGAGTGTACACTGTCAACACTTTTAGACAGTCACTGGCTGAGTGGTTACAGCACATGGAGACCCTGGATGACCGGGTTCGAATTCCTCAGGGGTCAAGAGTTTTCGTATATATCTATATCTATATATATATATATATATATATATATATATATATATATATATATATATATATATATATATATATATATATATATATATATATATGTGTGTGTGTGTGTGTGTGTAAATCACGAAAATTAGCGTAATAAAAACCACAGAGGAAGAATTGAAACAAGAATTTCCTTAAGTACTTTCGTATATTAATACAAATTCAGAAGGAATTTGAATTTTAATAATACATTTTAAAGCACTTCTACTCATTTCAGAAATTATGTCACATTGATTTGCTTGCCAATTCTCCATTAACCTGTCAAGGTATCCCGCAGTCAATCAAGACATCCGTCAAGAGAGGCTCAACAAGACATAATATGCATAAAGTGCACTTGAGAACTAATCAATAAAGGTGTTATTCCTTGACCTTAACGTTAAATCTTCGCACAATACTTAACTTAAGTCAGTCACTCACTTAACACCACCACAGCTCAAATTTGTGTTGATTTATTATTAATTATTATTATTAATAGTAGTGTTTGTAAGTAGTAGTAGTAGTTGTAGTTGTTGTTGTAGTTATATAATTAGAATTATTAAATTATTATTATTATTATTATTCCAATAATCAATGGTTTATTAAAAAGTCAGGCCATGCGTCACTCATTTAAATTATGGTCGAACTGGCAATTTCGCGACTCGCATTGCCGTCGCTTGATCACAGCTTGATAACCTAAAGTAATTGATAAGAAATTCAGAGTTGCAAAACAAAAGAGGTAAATAATGTATAGGAATCTGTGTTCGAGGACTGTTGAGGCCAGAACCAACCTTGTTTATACCACGGATAAAGTAGTCAATGAGTTTGTTTTTTGAGAGGTAGCGAGGCTGTATTTTTTCCGACTCTTCGAACAACAGCAGCAAACAGGTCAATCAGATGACTGTTGAAGAAATTCCCGTTTCTATGTAACTGTTTTTCTCCTCCCGTTCATTTAACAGTCACGATCTAACATACATATGGACGTCATAAGGTTAAGAGAGTGAGTTTATAGGCCTACAGAACTGCCGGGAAGAAAATGACTGCGTTCCCTGATAGTTATAAGGGACGTCGCCTCTACACACACACACACGCACACACAGTTTCAAAGCGTTATATGACAAAGAGTGCTGGGAAGACGGGACACCACGAGCGTAGCTCTCATCCTGTAACTACACTTAGGTAATTACACACACACACACATGTGTTGCTGCATTTTGTGTGCCTCACATATTTGCACTGGCACTTTAGGTATATAAGGCCACATGTTGGCGACCCTGCAAGTATATAATGACAGGTGTTGGTGGCCCCGCTGGTATATAATGGCAGGTGTTGGTGGCCCCGCTGGTATATAATGACAGGTGTTGGTGGCCCCGCTGGTATATAATGACAGGTGTTGGTGGCCCCGCTGGTCTATAACGACAGGTGTTAGGGGCCCCGCTGGTCTATAACGACAGGTGTTAGGGGCCCCGTTGGTCTATAACGACAGGTGTTGATGACCTAACAGGTATTAGGGGCCGCGGGCCACAATTACATTAGAGAACCATCAGCCACAACGTAACGACGACCAAACGGTGGTTTGTCAGGTGATAACTACTCCACCTAATTGCTTCAGCCTACCGTCGTAACTGCCGCCAAGGCAATAATTCGGAGCAATAGACACAGGTTTGTGTGATGATTACAACACCCGAGAACCATTTGGCCAATTGCGTTAAGAAACAACCTTATTTTGTGTGGCTTTTGAAGCGTGTTTTGTATTTTGTAGCGAAGGTTTTCAACCATCTTCGCAGGGTTGAACATATTCCGTATCCTGGATGTGGGGGGTCATTATATTGAGGAGCATACCTCAGGAGTATATGCATGAGAGTATATATGAATATATTATTCTGCCTATCTTCCAAAAATTAAATTATAACCGCAACATAACTAGCCTTGCCTCTCTTAACCTAAGCTTAGCCTTACCTCTCTCTCTCCCTAACCTAAGCTTAGCCTTACCTCTCTCTCCCCCTAACCTAAGCTAGCCTTACCTCTCTTAACCTAAGCTTAGCCTTACCTCTCTCTCTCCCTAACCTAAGCTTAGCCTTACCTCTCTCTCTCCCTAACCTAAGCTTAGCCTTACCTCTCTCTCTCCCTAACCTAAGCTAGCCTTACCTCTCTTAACCTAAGCTTAGCCTTACCTCTCTCTCTCCCTAACCTAAGCTTAGCCTTACCTCTCTCTCTCCCTAACCTAAGCTAGCCTTACCTCTCTTAACCTAAGCTTAGCCTTACCTCTCTCTCTCCCTAACCTAAGCTAGCCTTACCTCTCTTAACAATTCTAGGCGGTCCATCACTGGTGGTACACCACTGCATATTGGGCCTATATTGAATATTGGGCATATTGAAAGTACATATAGCTACTATAAGTACTTTCGTTTAATTCAGGAAGTTGGCTTAATTGACTTGATGTGATATTCACCATGTAAGAACAGGTGTCTATGGCTAATTGGATAAGTCTGATAGAACTGACAGTTAATTAGACAAGATCTGACAGAACTAATAGCTAATTAGATAAAACCGGACAGCAAATTTAACCAGATCTGAGAACTGACAACTAATTAAACAGGATTTGACAGAACTGTCAAATAATTAGACGAGAGCTGACAGGAATGACAGGTAATTAGACTTGATCTAACAGGTAATTAGACTTGATCAGA